CTGCACAGGAAAAGAGCTTGGCCTGCCTGCACATCTCCATGAGAAACTAGAACAAATTAGTTGTAATACTGGCTTTTAAGGGGAAACCAAGGCTCAAAAGAGCCTGGGAGAACAGCTGCTAGGCCACCAGCATGCTGGATGTGGAACTGGAAGTTATGGAGCAGGAAGGAAGCAGTTCCACTCCCTGCAGAGTAGCAGCTCCCTCAGCAGTCGCTGCTGTGCAACGGGTGCAGCGAAGCACGGGTGGTCACAGAACTGGGACTTTGTGCGATGTGAAAGCATGGGAGCCCTTTCCTGACAGCACCCGCAGTCCTACTGTGCAGGTCTGTCATGACACCTGGTGGCCAGAGGCACCCCTGCAGCATCTGCCAGCAGCCTGCCCTATTTCTTGTGTACCTAGATGAATGGCCTCATTTCCATTGACCTCAGGTGACAGCAGGAACAAGGCAAGGGAATGCGGCTAGGACACTCAGGCTAGGACACACTGAGCATCGCTGAGCATCCCCGTGGTCTCAGCAGAAGCTCACAGTCCTCTGTCCTGTGCTGTAACCTGCCATGCAGCTTTGTGGCTCTACCCCACTTCTGTTTGGAACAGAGCTCAGCCTGGGAGGAGTGAGAGGTGTAGACCTGCAATAGGGACAAGTAGAGAAGAAACTCATTACAAAATCCTATCAGACCTTTCTGATGTATGAGGGCTGGGCCAGGGTTTCAATATTGTAATCATTTACACTCCAAGCTAGCTCCCACCGTGCTGAAGAGCCAAACCTCCATGTCCAAAGAGGTGCTGGTTACTGCAGCTGGAAGCCAGGCTTCACGCCTGTATGTTTATTATATATACACATCCTGGGCGGACAAGGGAGCAATTCCCACTGCTCGTTTTTGTCGAACAATTGTCCATGCTGCTCGATCAGGCTGCAGCATCACTCTTCCCACGGACTCATATCTGTGTCAATGGCCACGCAGTTATAGGCAGCATAGCGCAACTTCTCTTCACACACCTTGGCACTAGGGATGGCAGGAGGAAGGGGAAAAAAGAAAAGACAAGGAGGAGATGCCACTGCTGCATTTGCCAGTGGAGAAGACAAGATGCTTTTGAGATGGAGGCTACTCTTCACCAGCCACTCACAGAGAGAATCACAGCAGCCACATGGTACAGGCACAGGGACGTAAGTGTGGAAAAGTGCTGGGGCCCTATAGGTCAGCACCAAGGTTAAGAAGAGAGCCCAGAGACACAGTCCGCCAGATGTAGGGAAGCACCAAAACTTACGTGGCATAGTTGGGCAAGAAGAGGGTGCTGGAGCAGGTGGATGACTCCGGCAAAGCATCTGTCGTCTCAGAGCTTGGAGAGAAGGTGACAAACTGGTCAGAACCAGCAAGGCAGAGGCAACCAGACCACACATCCCTCTGGCGTGGGATCAATCAGCCTTACAATCTACAGAAGAATGGACTCACCCCATTTTGTCTGGATAGATGTAGATCCGTGCTGGAAGGCGGCTTCTGCCAGTGACAAATCTGAGGAAGCGGCTGCGATCCTCTGTGAAGGAGAAACAAACACATCAGCAGACCCTAGAGGGATGCGGATGGAGTACAGCCACTTCCAAGTATCCCCAGTGCTAGCAAGCAGTTCCTTCAGCCCAGCTGCTTGTTCTCCCTGGTTTCCATCTGTTCCCCAGGCAGCTATGAGGGTGGCTTCGCCCTCCTCATTCCAAGCCAGCATGCAGGGGCTGTCATGTCACAAGATACATGGGGACAGAACAAATTACCATTGGTGAAGTTGTTGAGTGCTTCCCAGAAGTACTGAACACGGGTGTCCAATGGCTCAAAGTCCTCAAACCGGGCTGGCAGAAAGGATACAGAAAAGAAGCTTATTAAAGATTCAAGCTCCTCCTGGATAAGTTGGAGCAGCTCTCCCTGCTCACCCAGGGGTCCTATGTCAGCAAAGAAAGAAACTTCTAGGTGCCTGCAGGCTGTGAACACGTAGACCCAAGGTTTGAGGGACACATGCAGTCAGGCTCCTCCCAGAAAGCACATCCAGATCTACATCTCAGCTCCACAGAGGCTCACACACTGGCAGCCTAAGGGTGCCCCAGCTCTGAGACCCAGCATGGAGACAAGGGACACCCCTGCCCCCATCAGCACCCAGCTAAAGGCAAGAAGTATACAAGGCCATATTCGCACTTATATTATCAGCCTCCCACACCTCTGCTCATCCCAGCACAGAGACAGTTTTGTTTTCAGGGAGGTATCAGCAGAGCCTTTCACTTACTGAGCTTCTTCAGGGCATCAACTGTGACTTCAGGGTCTCCACAGACTTTTTTTTCCAGCTCCTGCCAGGTGAGAAGGTCAAGAACAGCTTGGGGCACCACCTTCAGCAGCCCAGCCTGCATGGCCATGATCTGAAAAGGACACAGGGCAGGTAAGCAGCATGTCTTGTCCATTTCCCTGCCCCATGGTTGAGCCTAGGGACTTGACTGGATGCGAGCCATGAGGCTGCTTACAGCAAATGCTCCAAGGAACCTGAAGGGAACAGGATCCCAGAGACACATCCCAGTTTATTCAGGAAGCCTGTGCTGGGAATAAACCCCTGTCTCCCATGCTGCTACAAGCCCATTTGCTTCTCAACAACTCCATGGACTCCAGGACCTCACGAAAAAGAACTGCCTACTATTGCACTGATGAGCACAGGGTTACTAACCAGAATGGTTTTTTACTCAAAACAGATTTTTGAGTGGCTGTCTCTCTTGGAACTCAGTGACCACTGATGCTATGGCACAGCATTACCTGCTCCTTGCTCTCCTCCAGTCGAGCCTTCTGCACCAGGCGGATGAACTCCTTGCGGTCCTCATAGCGCACCACGGTGTTGCTGCCATTGGGGATCAGCTCCACCATGCGTTGGTCATCGTGTAGGTCAGCTCATTCCCAAATTTGAACTCGAAGGTGTCTTTGTCCATTACTTCCATCACCTCCAGGAGTTTTACCTGCCCAGCCCCCAGATGAGTGCTTGTTAGAGAGATGGCCAGTGGGCAGTGGTGTGCCCGAGTCCCCATCTCCTCCCTTCCCAGACAAGGGCTGGTGTGACTGTGACAGGAGCACAGTGTGGGGTAAGCTGCCCTAGAGCTGTTTAGCAGACCCTGGAGCATTGCATGTTTGAAGCAGTAGTCACATCTCTGTATTAGCTATAAGATGCATTATATGATGTAAGTGCCCTTTTGGTGCATATTTCTTTGACACGCAAGTACAAAATGAGGACAGGGACACAAATCACCACCTTGCAGAGGGCCACGAGGAATAGGATAGGCACAGCCTCCCAATCCCTCTCACCAGCACAGAGTCCACGGCAGGGAAATCTTTGCTCCAGCTGACCTCCTCCCCTGTTAATTGTTTCCACACGAAGCCAGGAAGAGCCAGGACCTGAAGGAGAACAGGGATTTTGCTGAGCCTATGTGAAAGGAGACATTCCCAAAGATGGAGGTAGGGTTCAACGGTACAAATACAAAGGAGATTCCCTGCTCCCCCTGTCCAGATGCAGAGCTCATCATAGCCAAGCACAGACGAGACACTCTCCCAGGCTCCCAGCAGCATCTCCCAAAACTCAGGCTGTGAGCTTTCCCAACCCCTTTGCCCCACATCTGCCAAACACCTTTTGTCCCAGTGTGTGATTACAGAGCTCTCCCATGCTCCTGTCGGACAGGCTGCAGAAGGGGGATAACAACTCCCTTTGCAGCAAACCTCCATCCAGGGATGGGATTGAAGGCTTACCAGAAACTCCTTGCCCCTCAGAGCTGCTCCCATGATCTGCCCGATCCACTCATACTTTGGGAAGTCTTTACAGGAAGGATTGGGGACATACATGTCCCTGGCTTCTCCAGTGCCATTACCCTACAGAAACGAGATGCAAAACTCCAGGTCATGATCTCAGCACAGAACAAAGCACCACAAACTCAGTTTCTCCATTGCCTCTGGGCATTTGTCACAACAGAAGTGGGCTAAATGCCCCCATCCTCCTTGTCAATATTCCTAGTCAGAAACAAGTATCCAGACCCTTGTCAGCATATCCTAAAACGAGATGCCACAAAGCAGTCTACCCAACCCTTCCCAAAGAAAAGCCTCGGACCAGTCAAAGTAGGTACATCCCTGGCATGCAGGGGTACTGGGACAGTACTGCATTGCCAGACACAAAAAGACCTGCCTCAAACACCCAACCCACAGCACCTGGTTGGACGTGCGCACAAAGAAGGGCAGAGGCACAGGGGTGTCTGCTGAGCTGGGACACAGCTCCTCCGACATGTCCGCCAGGCTGTCCCGAAAACCTCCACCTGAAACCCCAAAAGAAGGACATTTTTAGTGATGCGAACATCTCATTTGCTGATCCTCATCTGAGTTATGGAAGAAAGATGAGGAATTCTGGTTCAACCCACACCTGTGCTGAGAAGGCTCTTGTTAGAGCCTTATGGCACCAGAGGAAATAGGAGAAATAACATCCCTGCCTGGCCTCTGGAGGAGAGCCAGAGGGAGCATTGTCAAAACTGCCCTTAGTGACTAATGGAGGTCTGGTCCCCATTCCAGCAAGCAGCTCTCCTTATCCAGGACATGGCCAGGGTGGCAGGACAAGGCAACCTGCCTTCCCTCTCTCCTAAATGGGCAGTAACACTAGGTGCAAATGATAGCTCCTACAGCAACAGTCACCCCGTCAACCCTTGCCTCTGCTCCAGAGGAGCCCTTGCCTCACACAGCCCTTACCTTGGTCAATGATGCCCTCTGCGATGAATTTGCACTCCCACCACTGGTCATAACGCAATGGCCACCTGTGGAGAACCAGGCACGGCCTGAGGGGCTGCTCAAAGCCAAGGAGATGCTGGGGAGGCAGCAGGCAAAGCAGGGTCAACAGGAGACTAGAGTGAATCAGTCTGGGCTTAGGACAGGACAAGCTCTCAATCTCCAGAGACAGCTGCATCTTCAGTAGGGAGGTGACACCTTGGGGAACATGCCATGATCCCATGGCTGCGCTGGCTCCTGCCTTAGCAAACCCTCTCCAGAGCACAGCGGGGACACAGGCTTCCCAAACACCCTGCTGTGACAGAGGACGTATCTCCCAGCATTGCATGATCCCCTCCCTCCCCCATGCTTACCTGTAATCTAGAGGCTTTTCAAACTTGTCTGAGGGTTTCAGGCCTTCATATACCTGCAACAAGCAGAGATGATCAAGGCTGGTATTCCCTCTCCAGGGAAACTGGTGCCAGCTGAAGGCAGGAAATTCAAGAAATCTGGTTTGCCACAAGCCTTTAAATCTTAACCAAAGGTGATCTCTAAATGGTCTAAGAGCCCTTCATTATTGGAAATGGAACATAAATTACAGTGCTAAGCACTGTATGGAGCTTTCTGGCCTCAGAGGTACATCAAACGCACATTTAGCCTCACAGCAGTCTAGGTTGTTTATGCACACATAAAGCAATAGATCTTTTGGAGATAGGGGGAGAATGACAATAGGAAAATCAGCACTGCTGTAAAACCACGATACAGGACTGTATGCAGCTGCGCTATTATCGTCACACAAGAATTCTTTGCTGCCCTTTCAGTGTAAGGAGATGGTTATGCTCTGCATTAGCAACATGCCACAGAGAGCATCCAGGATAGAGACTTCAACTTAGAGGACCCAAATCCCTCCTAGATGTTATTCCTGGACATGGGATCATCAGCACATGTAATCGTAGACCCTATGAAACACGCGAAGAGGCCTTGAGGACTCTAGGTATCTCCAGCTCTAAGTTGTTCCCTTTCACCCATCTCTGTGTGGCTCATTTTAGCTTTAGGATGCCCCACTCTTCCCAGAGCAGAAGGGACCCTTCCAGGAGGGACAGTACCTGGGTGAAGACAGCGTTCTTGCAGCTGGGGTCCAGGGCAGGGTTGTCTCGGTGCTCCATAGCAAGGCGGCGGTTAATATAGAGCCGTGGCATGAAATTGGGCTTGCTGGTCTCCGAGTCCTTCAGACACTGGGTAATGAGAGCTGTGCGCCTCTTGGACAGCAGCAAGAACTGCTTGATATGCTGCCAACAGGTATGTCCAAAACATCAGAGGTGCCCAGTGTCCAAAACATGTCAGCTACTTCCTACAGAAGCCACTGCACCACCAGGTCTCTCCCCTTCCCAGGGCCACTGCCTTCCACACAAGTGTTGCTTGGACATTCCTTCACCCTCATTCTCACCAGAACATCTGTCTTACTATCCATCCTATCTGCAACCAAAGCAAACTCCTCTATACAAACAAGAATCAACAAATGCTTTGGATCCTATGTTGAGCCTGCACAGGAATTACAGTCATTTCTGACATCAGACCTGGAAACAGACAGAATGGGGCTACCCCAGCAATGTCTGGCACATATGTTCCGGGATAGGATGTAAGGAAAACAGACACCTGGAGGGATGAACCCAGTCTTATGAGAAAGGTGGAAATCAAAAGCTTATTAAAGCCAGAAAGAATTTACTGGTAAAAGCCTTGCTGTTTGGACGCAGTCAGCTCAAAGCTGCTGGCAGCAAGCGTGGGAACAGAGTGTACTGGGCTGAGATCTCAGAGGGGATGTGTGTCCAGCTCACATGCCCAGTGCTGCTATGGTTCAAATCCTTTTGAGGGTGAAGCGCTCTTGTTTGATTCTACTTGTTAGCCCATAGCTGCATGTTTCCACATCAGCATTTCAGCTGGAAACTAGCCTCTAAACAATATCACCTTTCACAGCTTTAATGAACTGAGCCCAGACGCACATCTCCCTTGAGCTGCTTTAAAGGCAACAAGCACCGACTGCCTCCCTTCCCACAGCCCAAGCACAATCACCCTGCCAGACTGAGGCCCCACAAGACATGGAGAAAATCACTCACCTTGAGTTTGCTGAACGTGCCAACAGTATGGTCCCAGGCTGGCACTAGGTGATGCAGGACACTGTCCAGGAGCTTGATGAACCTAAATCCCAAAGAAGATATTGCAACACAGGAGGGACAGGGATATGCACAAGCCTATTCCAGACCAGACACAAGCTGAAAAGTAACAACTGATCCAAACCCAACCCAGCATAGTCTTCTGTATCATAGAGCCTTCGGTACCGAATTCCCACTGTCTGGGCACTGCAGGGACCTTGTACCCCTTGCAAGGGATTCTGCACACACCTGCCCCACACACCACACAGATAAACTGCATTTGGGACATACGAGACGCTGAACTTGAGCTGCAAAATTCATCTGGAAGCACAGGGAAGTTATCCCAGAGAGTCCACTTTGTTCCCAAATGGCTCTGCTACTTAGTCCAGGGCCCAGGATGCCTGTCCCCAGGGGAGACACACAGCTCTACAGCTTCCAGCCATGGTTGTGCTGGAGACAGCACCAATCCCTGCAGGTAACACCACCCCACTTGTCTCCCCTCCTCGTTACAGTACCTTTGAATGAGGACAGCCCGTCGGTACAGCAGGTCAGGGTCTGTCCCTTCTAGGCGAGGGTAGCGCACTAAATTGGGCAGCTGGAACATGTCAGCACTAAGCCCCAAGTCCCTCTGTCGAGAGGATTTGATTTTGATGCCTCGGAGGCGCACATCAATCCCATCATCTGCCAAAGAAGACCATGGATGATACACTAAGACAATGAGAAAGCAAGCATGGATGTCCATAAGTAAAAGCACTGGGAATGTGACCATCCCTGGGGCTAGGCATTAAGAGTCTGTGAAGAAGAACTGGGGCATTTACAGAAGGAAAAAAAAAAAAGAATTGAAGGCAGAGAAAGACAGGGTGAAAGCTGAGAGCTTGCAAACCTTCAGGTCAGCCTGGAGTTTCCCATGGTTCTTCTGCATCTCGTCTGAAACAGCCCACAGAGCCAAGAAGCACAAGCCACAGGAACAAACTTAACATGCAGTATGTTACAGATGCATTATGGATGTGTCCATTAACACCCACCCTACCTCTGCACTCCACAATCCGGATCTCAATGACAGGCAGGTGTGTTGTCATGTCCTCAAGGACGCATACATCCCCAATGTAGCTCCTGCAAACACAGCACAGATGAAGGCTGCAGGGCTGTTCCCTCACCTGTCCTGCCAAAAACCACAGACCACTTGTAAGGGAAGAGGGTTTGCATGTATTGAAACAGGAGCCTGTGGCAGGAACATGGACCCAGTTGCCTACAACATGGCCTATGCTGAATGCCTGAACCTGCCGGTGCCCCAGGTCCAGATGACATGATCCCAATGGGTCCCATAACTGGATCAGGGCAGCGCTGATGATTGTGCTGTCTGCTGTTGTAGGTAGAGTGAACTCACAGCTCAGAGATGGAAAATGCCTGTCCCAAAGCCCTGGGCCTTTTAAGCCAGGTTGGTTCTGGAATGACTGCTTTGGGTCAGGGTATCCTGTACCTCCAGCCCCTGCAAGGGCCACGCTACACTCCCCACTTCCAGCCACTCACTCATCAATGCCGACATCATTCAGTTTCTTCAGATTGTCCCCCTCGCCTCCATACACAGCAACCCGCTTGGGCATGAAGTTCTCATCAGTGGTATCCACTGTCAGCAGGAGCTTCCTGCAAAGGGAAGCGTGAAATGAGGAGAAGGCAGCTGCATCTGAACACCCATCACTGCTCTCCCTCATTGCCTCATCACACTTGTCATCAAGCACAGCAGCTGGTGCTGGGATCCCCAGGTACCTATAAAAATGCTAAGACCCATTCAAGCTCAGAGCCAGAACTGAGGCAGGGGTGCAGAACAAATTTGTGCCACGATGGACTCATGCAGAGAAAGGGGCTGCAGGGCTCTCCCCAGCCATGAGCCAGCGTGCAGGGGAGAGGTGCCTCACTTGACAATGGTGCCTTTCTTCATGTTGAGCCGCACCCAGTGCTGGCCCTGGGACCCGTCACTCTCCCAGTACGTGTCGGCATGGCTGTCAGTCAAGCATGACACATTGAAGTCCTCCTGGAAGAGGGCAGTGAATGAAAGGAAGATCAGATGGGGGTAGGATTAACTTCCCCTTAGTGATTACTCTCATCATGAATCTTAGAGCCAGAGGGCATCAAACTGGCCTGTTCCCTTTGCTGGGCTCTGGCTAGATACAGGGAATACAGAGCGCACAGGACACTGGGTCTGACTCTCCAAAGTGCTCTGGGGTCACACATGTGGCGCAGAATATCAAACCCTCCCTAAAATCAGCTTTGCTTCTCAAACCACAGCCCTTCCAGGGACCATATTACACAATATGCTGCATGATGCTCCCCAGGCTCCTCTCCCACATCCTCAAACACAGCCCAGCTCAGCACATCAAGCACCACCCATGCTTCCCGGCCCCATGGCACAGCAGAACTGACGCAGCCTTGCCCCTTTAACTCACCGTGTAGGATGAGACATCGATGCTGTCCACATACTGCTTGACACTGCCCAAGTTCTCATCCTCTTTCCCAATGTGATCATATAGGAAATGTACCAAGTCTTCATCACATTCATAAGTCCATGTTGGGGGCACAAACCTACCAGAGAAAAGGGATTAATGGGTCTGGAGGAGAACCAGGGGCAGCCAGGCTAGAAGGTCCATGTCCTGCTTCCCTTGGTCCTGCCCTGTTTTCTGTTTTGTACAGGCTTATCTAGGGCAAAAGGGCCGAGCAGAGCCATTCCCCACTGCCTGTCTTCCCCCTTCACTCCCCAGGTCTGCAGGAGATGGCTATCTGAGCAGCCAGGGAGAGACAGTGGCTTGCACCCAACTGCAGAAGAAGCTGGGACACAGTTCATACCGAAGCTTCTCTACTGCAGCCTCATCCTGCTCCATGGGCTTGGGCTTCGCTCCGAGGCGCAGAGAGTACGTCAGATCCACCACCTGCTCCCATCTGAAACAAGCCAGAGAAAAGGGGAGTGAGAAAATCCCAGGGGAAAGAAAGAGTGGAGTACCTGGAAGTGGAAGACTTGAGCTTAAAGCCCCACCGCACTCCATCCTCATCCACCACCCTTTCCTTTCCAACCGTGTCCACTTCTTCCAGCCCACACCCCCCATGGCAGGTTTTTTTTTTCGGAGCCATACGCAGTTAACTCCACATCTGGCATCCCTGTGGCCTCACTTCCATGGAAGAAGTGGCCAAACGGGCCGGGGCTCCTCTGTGCAGCACAAGGACGACTGTGGGGCAGCACACCGAGACCCTCCTTAGCTGGGCCCCAGGTGAACGGGGGGCAAGAACCTCCGGCTCTGCCGTGCACGGCGATCCAGACCCCGCACCTGATGACGGG